ACGGTCTGGTATGATAGGGCAGTCCCAGGAAGCACTCTCTTGGCCCAATATGTGGCAGGGGCTCACCCCATTTTATGGAGTCATTCAAAACTTCCTGCTTGCTTTGATTTCTTAATAATGGCCTGACAGCTACTGAGGAACTGAAAGTAAATGAGGCCTGGGAAAAGAAAAACAAAATGCAGCCCATAGAATTTCTCTCTTTGATGGGTTATCAAGAGTTCATGGAACACAGAGATCAATGAGAATGGTGATGACCATGACATGAGTGGCATTTCCCAAAGAACTGATGTGTTTTAATATTGAAAAAAAAGTTTCTTTTTTAGACCAGACTGAGGTTTATAGGTTATTGAGCAAATAGTACATAGAGTTCCCATATACCCAGCCCCTGCAAACACACACACAGAGCTTCCCCTATCGTTAACGTCTTGCTTTAACATGGGACATTAGTTACCACTGAGGAACCAATGTTGATATATTATTATTAACTAAAGTCCATAGTTTACATTAGGGCTCACTCCTCGCATTGCATATTCTGTGGGTTTTGGCAAATATATAATAAGTATACACCACTGCCGTGTCATACAGAATAGTTTCACTGCCCCGAAATCCCTGTGCTCCCCCTATTCATGCCATCCCACATCCATCGCTTTGGATGGGATGAAGCCATCCAACTGGAATTCCATTTGGAATTCCATTCCATTCCAGTTCCATCCAACTGGAAACCACTGATCTTTTTACCATCGCTATAGTTTTACTTTTTTCAGAATTTCATATAGTTGAAATCGTACAGCCTTTTCAGACTGGCTTCTTTCACTAAGAAATGCACATTTACATGGTTCCGCCATGTCTTTTTGTGGCTTGATACCTCATTTCTTTTCATCACTATTATTTTATTGTACGGATGTACCACAATTTGCCTATCCATTTACCTTTTAAAGGACACCTTGGTTGCTTCCAGTTTGGGGAAGTTATGAATAAGAATACTATAAACATGTATCCAAAATAAATGAGTCTTAAAACTCAACAACTAAGAAACAGACAACCCAGTTTACAAATGGGCAAAAGATATGAATAGACACCTCACCAAAGAAGATATACAGATGGCAAATAAGCCTATGAAAAGATGCTAAACATCATATAGTTTTCTTCATATAGATCTTTACATATTTTGTTAGATTTATACCTAAGTCTGTCTGTCTGGTCTTTCTTTTCCCTTTTTTTTTTTTTTTTTTGGTGCTAACGTAAGTGATGTTGTATTTTTAATTTCCAATTCCAGCTGTTCATTGCTGGTATACAGGAAAGCAATCAACTTTTTTTATATTAATTTTGTATCTTGCAGCCTTCCTATAATTGCTTATTAATTCTAAGAGTGTTTTTGTTGATTCTTTGGGATTTTCTACATAGGCAATCATGTCATCTGCAACCAGAGACAGTTTTATTTCTTCCTTCCCAATCTACGTACCTTTTATTTCCTTTTCTTGTCTTATTGCGTGTCCTGGCTAGGACACTGTACTGTGTTAAAAAGGAGTGTGAAAGGGGATATCCTTGTCTTGTTCCTAATCTTAATGGAAAAGTTTCTAGTTTCTCATCATTAAGTGTGATTAGCTTTAGGGATTTTGTAGATGTTCTTTATCAGGTTGAGGAAGTTCTCCTCTATTCCTAATTTGCCAAAAGTTTTGTGTTTTTGCTTTTTAATGATGAATAGGTGTTGAATTTTGTCAAATGCTCTTTCTTCATCCAGTGATATGATCCTGTGACTTTTCTTCGCTAGCCTGTTGAGGTGATAGATTACATTAATTGATTTTCAAGTGTCAACCCAGTCTTGCATACCTGCATACTTGCTTGTGGTGTACAATTCTTTGTATATATTGTTGGATTCAATTTGCTAATATTTTGTTGAGGATTTTGCTTCTATGTTCATGAGAAATATTTGTCTGTAGTTTTCTCTTCTTGTAATATCTTTGTCTGGTTTTGGTATTAGAGTAATGTTGTCCACATAGAATGAGTTAGGGAGTGTTCCTTCTGTTTCTATGTTCTGGAAGAGGTTGTAGAGAACTGGTATCATTTTTTCCTTAAGTGTTTGATGGAATTCACCAATGAACCCATCTGGGCCTGGTGCTTTCTGTTTTGGAAGGCTATTAACTATTGATTCAAATTCTTTAATATATATGGGCCTATTCAGATCATTTAATTCTCCTTGTATGAGTTTTGATACATTGTATCTTTCGAGGAGGTGGTCAGTTTCATCTAAGTTATCAAATTTGTGGGCATAGAATTATTTATAATGTTACTTTATTATCTTTTTAATGTTTATGAGATCAGTAGTGATGGTCTCTCTTTCATTTCTGATTTTAGTAATTTGTACCCTCTCTCTTTTTTTCTTGGTTAGCCTCCTAGAGGCTTGCCAATTTTATCAATCTTTTCAAAGAATCAACTTTTCATTTCATTAATTTTTCTCTACTATTTCCCTGTTTTTTTATTTCATTCATTTCTGTCCTAATTTTTTCTTCTGCTTGTCTTAGGCTTATATTGCTCTTCATTCTCTAATTTCCTAAGGTGGAAGCTTAGATTATTGATTTTAAACTCTTTCATTTCTAATATATGCATTCTATGCTATAAATTTCCTTCTCAGCACTGCTTGCCTGCATCCCACAAATTCTGATAAGTTGTATTTTCATTTGCATGTACTTCCATTTCATTTAGATAATTTTTTCTTTGTCTTACGACTTCTTCCTTGACCAACATGCTGTTTAGAAGCATGTTGTTTAATCTCCAAATACTTTGGAATTTTCAACTATCTTTCAGCTATTGATTCCTAGTTTGATTCCATCATAGGCTGAGGGCATACTTTGTATGATTTCTGTTCTTTTAAATTTGTTGAGTTATGTTTTGTGCTCAGAGTGTGGTCTATCTTGGTGAATGTTCTATGTGAGCTTGAGAACAATGTGCATTTTGTTGTTATTTGGTGAAGCAATCTATACATGTCATTTAGATCCAGTTGACTGATGGTGGTGTTCAGTTCAGCTTTATCCTTACTAATTTTCTGCCTGCTGAATCTGTCCATTACTGATACAGGGATGTTGAAGTCTCCAACTATCATAATGGATTTGTTTATTTCTCCTCAGACTTCTATCACTTTCTGCCTCACCTATTCTGATGCTCTATCTTTAGGCACATACAATTAAGGATTGTTATGTCTTCTTGGAGAATTGACCCCTTTATCATCATATGTAATGCCTCTCTTTACCCCTAGTAACACTTCTTGCTCTGAAGTCAGTTCCATCTGAAATTAATATAGTTCCTCCTGCTTTCTTTTTGTGTTTCAATATTTTGAATACCGAAGTATATGATAAAAATTTGCAAAGTGGGTAAGAACACAGACATTTGAATCAAGCAAATCTGAATACAATCCAGGCTAGCCAAGCTGGGTGACTTTGGGCAAATTTAATCATTCTGTGCCTCAGTTTCCTTATCTACAAAATAGAGAACCATCCCTTTGGATTATTGTGTAGATGAAATGGGATAATGCAGTAGAGCACTTAGCAAATTTCCTGGCAGGTAATGTTGAATTAATATATTCTATTAATACAAGTTATTATATTACTGTATAACAATATAAGCTCAATAATATAAGCTATTATTATATTATCAATACAAGCTATTGGTATCATTGTATTATGGGACTTTACACTTTGTACTGTATTATGGGACTTTATACTTTTCTAAGTGCAAGTACTCTGTAAGAATGTCAGATGAGGCACTCCGAGAAGATAAATCTAGAAACTAATTGCAAAGTCTCAGGCCGGGGTGGATGTCTCATAGGCACAGTGTCCTGAAAAGAGAAAGACTTCACATGTGCCCTACAGCCACAGTCCAGAGCCCCACGACTCAGGGAATGTAGTCTTTCCTCCTGGGTGCTAAACTTTGCTCACTCTTCTAACGAAAGAGAAAGTACGGAGGAGCCTTCTGCCCCGCATTGCCAACTCACAGACACACTATCTGGGCTGGGGTCCCTTTCTTTCTGGAAATGTAGTCACACCTGGCCCCATTGAAAAGCAGATCATCACCGATGAGATAAATTCTGAGCAGCTTTTAAAAAGCAATAGAAATAACTAATCACATGGGAAAACCTTCATTGTACACCAAGGTTTTGTAAAAGTAGTTATAAAACTGTATGTTATGTGGTGTGATCTCAATTTTGTTTGAACTTTTTAAAAAGATTGTAAGCATAGACAGAAGACTGGAAGGAAGTGAGCCACAGTGTTAAAACAGTGCCTGCCTCTGGGGGATGGGAGCCTTCTTTGTGCTTTTCTCCAATTCTCATTTTCTGTAACACTTTTAAAATGTTATTTTCAAAATGAATAAAAAAATTAATGAACAACAATCATTAGAAACTCTCCCCTTCCTTAGCTCTATGTACCTTATTCCACAAACTTGGTATTTTCCTTGCAGGAAAGTGGACAGTTGTCACTTGCCAACTGATCTTTCTAGTTTGTGTTTGGGGTGATTTTTGCTTTCTGTCCTGCCATTCTGGACAACCAAAAGCGTACCTATGTGGGGTCAGGGAAAGAGAAAGGGGCCAACTCCCTGGCCAGAATATGTGCTCATTCAGACTCCCCTGAGTTCCCTTTGCCTCTGTGCTGCCTGGTTCCCCACCTCACAACTTGGGCACCTGCTCTGGGTCTGGAGTCAGAGAGTGCATACCCCAGCTCTGCCACACACTAACCATGTGGCCTTGGCCAGGTCACTTAACTTCTCTGACCCTGAGCGTCATCATTTTTTTTTTTTTAATGGAGAGAGTGTTGTGGGGGTGGGGCAGACCGAGAGGCAGAGTATCTTAAGCAGGCTCCATGCCCAGCCCAGAGGCCAAGCGTTATCATTTTTAAATGAGGGTTGTGGTGACCAGCCGGCCAGGCGAGGGACTTAGCACCTTCCGGTACCCAGTGCTCACCAGTAGATGTTGGGGCCCTGGTTACAGCTGTCTTCCTTCTGTATTTCAGTCTGCTGACATCGACAACCATCATGCACTTATTGAATATAATGAGGCCGAGGACAGCTTTGTTCTCCAGGACTTCAATTCCCGAAACGGCACCTTCGTCAACGAGTGCCACATTCAGAATGTGGCCGTGAAGCTGCTACCCGGAGACATCCTGAGATTTGGGTCTGGAGGGCTGACCTACGAACTGGTCATCGAAAACCCACCCTCGGTGAGTCCATGCCCTTGCAGGGTAGGGGGCCGGAGGCGCCATGTCCTGTTGCCTTTTGTGCATCCAAAGGGTGGTGCTTGTCCAGAACGTGCCACCCGGATTTCATGCTGTGCACACAGTGACATTGACCCACCCGACCTTGCAAGGTTCACACCAATCCAGCCCGATCCTGGTGGGGTGTGCATCCTAGCGCCCTCTTCTGGGCATTTCCTGGAATGACGTGTAAGAGTTGTACAGGGGCGAACTCCGAACCATAGCGTTTTCCTGGAAATGCAAAGCTTGGTTAGGGCAAGAGGAAAGCAGGCGTGTGCTTTGGAAAACTCAGAAATGGATGCTTCTTTTTAGGCAGATCAGTACTCTGCAGCTTCCTTGCTTTGTGACCTCAACCAGGGTTCTTTATATGCCCGGGTCTCGGGCTTCCGATGCTGCACGGCATTGAGAGGGTATCTATCTGTAAAGCGTGAAAGTCAGTGTCCGCCTCCGGCAGAGAGTCAGCACATGGCCCCTCTTGTCATACCCCCGATCAGAAACATCCCTGGGATCCTGACCTAAAATATGGCCCCAGTTTAAGCAAAATGCAATACAAAACTTCCTCATTAAAGCTCAGTCCCAAGGAACACACCATTCACGGGGGAGGCAGGCTGGGGCCAGGTTGGGCCGGGGGGCGCGGGGGGCTGGTTAGCGGCTCAGGCTTTGGTCAGAATCCCAGCTCTGCCACTCGCATATCTCATGCGCTCCTGAGCAAGCCTCTGGACCCCCCACAACCTCCCGTTTCTTCCTTTTCTTCCTCTATAAAATGGGGCCAATGACAGCAATTACCTTGCAGGCTCACCTTGAGGGTGGAAAGAGATGATTATAATTGTAAAACTAGCATGGTGCCCGTTCACGGTGAGCACACAATTAACATCTGTCACTTGTGTCCAAGAGAGATGGCATCTTTATCTTACTCACCGCCCCCCAAGAACGCTACATGGACTGAGGCCTCCAAGGCTTAAAATCCTTTCTGGAACAAGGCTGGGTATAAATAAATCAAATTTAGAGGATCTAGACAGACTCCTGGGGTTTTGAGCCCACAGGCAGACCTAACTGTGCACCCCAGGAAGCTGGACGGCGTCCCTCAGGTTGCGTGGGTCATGATGCCACATCCATCACATTTGGCTTTGAAGATGTGGGGCAGGCAGATTTTTCAGCTGCTGCTCAGCTGCCTTATTCTCCTTAGACCATTAAAGTATGTTTGCTCATGGAATGCACCAGGGTCCTGGGGCAGCACTGAAGGGGGGTGCTCCTGACCCAGAAGGTGTTGACCTGATCAAGAGTTCTCAACATGGATAATAAGGACCCCCCCACACACACACCCACATCAGAACCCTGTGGGGAGCAGACCAACAATGCAGATCCCTGGGCCTCATCCAGGCCCAAGGACTCATACTTAAGGTTGCCAGAAAAAACACAGGACACCCAGTTAAATCTGAATTTCAGAGAAACAACAAATAATCTTTTAGTATAAGTATGTCCCAAATATTGCAAGGGATCGCTTATGCTAAAAAAATTATTTAGTATTTGTCTGAAATTCGGAGTTAATTGGATACTCTATATTTCATTTATATCTATTTTTTTTAAAAGATTTTATTTATTTATTTGACAGAGAGAGACACAGCGAGAGAGGGAACACAAGCAGGGGGAGTGGGAGAGGGAGAAGCAGGC